AATACAATACTTTACACTTCCAACTATAGATGAAGCCATTTTAAGGCGTTTAGTTACTTAGTTTGAAATATTACTCAAATAAGTTTTACGATAAAATATTTAAAATCTCATTTTATATTTTTTATAATATTATTATAATTCAACATTAAGTTTTGAAAGTTTAAATCATTTTTATGCAAGTAAATTCAAGAAATGGTAAAAATATTCAAATTTCAATAATGGATACTGCCCTCTAAAGAGACGGTTCACTTTAAGCTCCTATCGATCTTCGTGGTCACGCATATTAGATTTCAGACAGATGATGTTACCAACTTAACCTACTTTTAATTTCTCAGTAGCAATGTGTTTCTTGGCATACAGGGATCTAGCGATAAGTGAATCGGAAAACCCAGTTTTATCGGATTTTCTCATGAGAAGCATAAAGATCAAATTAGATGATTTGATCTCTTATTGCCATGTTCGGCGTTTGTCTAGGAACTTCAAAGTTTACTGGCAAAGTTATTTAACTGAATGATTCACGATTTAACACTTCTAACAGCATTATGCTTTGTGGGCATATGAATATGGGCAATTAGATTTCATCATATAGAACAACAAGTTTTTGTTGTTCATACTTAAGGGAACAATTACATTTGTTAATTAACACTGTTACCCCTTGACTGATATGAATTTTAAATTTGTATTTTCTCCACTGCCGGATAAACAGCACATTCTTTGTAAATGTTTCATTTCATAACTTAGTTATTCGAATGAATACAAATGAGTATTTTGACAAAAGCAAACATTTTTTGGTTTCGATTTTTGAGCTTCTGCTGTCCGAAGGATACAAAGCAATGTCCTCCATCGAAGATCACACAGCTATGTTTTTCATCTCGATTTTTGTACCTGATTCCGCTATTTTTATTATTTAATTATTTGGGACAACGGAAAAAAGTAATACATCATCCAAATGCACTTGTCCAAGGGCATTATAGCCTACGAAGTGTGAGAGCTTGTTCCAAAAACGCTAATCTATTTCAAATTGTATATCCAAAATGCAGTTCACTAAAAAGCTTTGCGTCAATCAAATAGCAGAGCATGAGCCACTCTTTTCTCTCCCATATCTTAAATCAAATTCACTTCCATTCAGAATTAACGATTTTTTTGACTACTGAATGTGAAATTTCTTCTAAAATTAAGTTCATTTTACCACAAAATAAAAGTAGGACTTATTAGTGTTCTAATATTGCCTTGGTGTTTCACAACTGACTCCTGCCATCTTAGCGTATCTATTTGCGGGTAACGTTTTTGGGTTACAGCATGAAATATTAATACTTTGAATTTTTAATTTATAAATAACCTCCAGACGCTGACGAAATCAATGACTCCCTGCACCCTCTCCCCCTCCCTGTACACCCGGCTTAGCATAATTTATTTAAATATTAACTGATTCCTGTTTTGATTTTTTTTCGATTTAATAACAGGATAAAATTTTCCTTGACATAAAACGAAGCTGACAAAAATTTAGCTAAGCTGAGCATGAACTATGAACTTCTTTTTTTGGTGTTTTTTTAAAAACTGTCATTTAAAAGCTATTGCGTGTTCTTTTTTTCATTTTTTGGATTCGCATGACCAAAACAGAGCTTATTTTTGTAACTTTTGTGAGTTGAAAGCTTTTAACTTGTGAAAAAAGAAAATTATTTTAGTGAAATAATTTTATACTTTATTTAAATATTTAAATTTTTCAATGCAGATAATCTGCAATCCAGCAAACGCTCAGATCGGCCAAGTTATATACCATATATTCGCCTTAAGATTATTTCCTTACAAGGACAAAATTATTTGATAGAAACATATTTTTAAATGACAAAATTTAGGATTTGTACTAACAATCTTGAACGCATTTATCTTAACAAGTATATTTAGGCTAAACTATAAAAAAACCAATGAATAATGTAATTATTCATTGTATATTAATACCCAACTGACTTCCTGAAATTAAATTACCAGATCTGGATAGGTTAGTTAGAATTCTATTTAAAAGCAATATATACAACTGAATTATTTAATCACATTTTCCAAATCTCATCAGAATTCAGAATTGCTTAACTGGTCTTCGCCAGGTCAGGCCATAAGGCGAATTAGTAATACACACAGTGCATAATTTTATCGACAATCAAATCATCCAAACTTTTGTATTAATTATATATATATATATGTATTATTTAACTTTCTAAATATTCGCATGCATTTTGAAGAATACAGTAAACTTCACCATAAAAGAAAGACAAACTATTCAATTTTTAGATCAAAATTTTGATCCATATTTAAATTTGCACATTTGCCTTTTGATCTATGCGCTAATTGGGTGGAAATGCCCAAGCAGATTTTAAATTTGGCTTAATTAACCAGGACGTTTGAATTCCGCTGGATGCTCCCTGTTATAGCTTAATATTTATCATCCTTCATGGTATGAATCCCTCCCACACGATATATGTTTTTCCTAAGGTTTTTTATTTACCTTCAATTTTAAAATAGTATCAGTCGAGTATTGTCATAGCTGTCACTTAATTAATATTGCATTGCATGCGAGATCGTCTATTTTGCAGATTATAGCATTCCTATTAAAATGCTTGCATGCGGAAACAAAATATGCCTTGATATCAAGTCTCCATGTTGTCAGCTTTCCTACCTGTCAGAATTTCAGTCTAGGGCTTAGATGGGCAAAGTTAAAAACTATATGAGAAATTTAGTGAAATTAGGGCTGAGGTTGTCTGCTTAATAATCAATAACGCACTGATTCCAATTTGTGACCATTTCTTTATCAACATCGAACGTCTTTGAATCCAATTCTCTACTACTCTTTCGTGAGTCTTATGTTATGCTATGTTGAGAAAAGAAATTAAGCCGCTTCAATTTGTTTACTTTAAAACAAAGTTCTAGCAATTGTTTCCAGTCTTTGAGACTGATTTGCCAATCGTCTTACCTCATATTCACAAGGGTTCATGTTTTGTCCCGGAATGAGCCATTAACACCCTACTATCGACTGTCATGCTGTCAGATATTTATACTTAAATGTAAAACCCTCACTGGTCTTTACATTCCGATTACTATTGACGTTACATTGAACTTCGACCATCAAGTGAAGAGAGATAAAAGGAGCCCTAAAAGAAGACATCAGTAACTTAATAATAGCTATTGAACAACAATATGGCGATGGAAGATAAAAGGAAAACATTGCAGATGCCTATTGCCATAGAAAAAAAGAAACGTAACTTCAAGCAAAGCTTGATACGGCAAGTATTATTATTACCTTAAAAGCGGTTAATCAAGGAAGCAATTTTTGATTGTTAAATACTTTCATTTGTCGGCATATTTCAGCACTACCAACGAATGTTTATCGATGCGTATTGTTGGAGGTAAATAGCCAAACCTATGATAAATTGCTGTCAAATGATGATTCATGCGACCTATTTTAGGCAGACGGACATTTCGACTGCGTAAATATAGAAGGAACGAGGGGTTGATAAATAATATCTATAGAACATCATTTTGACGATGCAAGGTAGAAAGTAGACGTTACAAAAGTCTACTGCCACGGGAAAAAAGCGAAAGTAGAAACAAAACAAGGTCAATGCGTTTTAAAGTGATTAAAGAAAAGGGCACTTTTGCTTCTATCTCTCATGGCACAAGTTGATAGCTGATTGTACCCTAGTAACGGCTTCTTGTTTGTTGGAAGGTGTTTGATAACACTTCTCTCAATATCTCAGTAAAGGCGAACTCGCCAGCATGACGATATTAACATCAGGGAGTAGTCGGAGCTGGTTTCTATCGTATTCTACCACTATCTGTCAAATGAACAAGGAACAAAGTACTCATTCGAGCTCATTTATTTGTCCACACGATCCGAAGCCAAATGTTTCACTTAAATTTCGGTTTGCACCCAGGCTATATGTGCGATTTATATGTAAGCATAAATGCAAAGCGTTGAAAGCAAAATTTACCCAAATAAATTTCAGCCGATCCCTTATCCACAGTTTGTATTCCTCCCATTTTTTTCACCTTAAAGTGCTTTCACTATTGTTAATTTTAGCACTGACTTACATTTCACCTGATCGTTGGAATGTGCCCAGAAAGATTATTAACTTTCTCCCTCATTTGTTTTCTGAAAATCCACTACAAATTGCACGTAACTCTTGTGAATATGAACAGTCGTGGTGGGGAAATGGGAATTTGGAAAATCATGAGATTATCCAATCAAGACTCAGAAATTCCTCAGGGTTTTGATTTATTTTAATTTCTAATTGATTGCAACTATTTACCCGTAAAATCCTCTTTTAGCATTGAAACACTTATTCTTGCTTGGGTTAGGCAACCGTATTTATTTAGTTAAATAAATGTTTCCTCAGTGACAAGTTTTATCCCCAATTTGAGTCCTGTACTGTGCTTTCGTTAATTTGCACTGAACGTCAAAAGAACTCTCAACTGAGACTATAATATTTTGCTATTAATCGATGGTGTAAAGTGTAAATTTTATTCCGCAATAAGTAGCCATTGATGGGTTATGTGATCTGTTCCGTCAACTATAATGAAAAATATGTAATTCTCTTCCCACCAAATGAATTCTAATCAAATTTATATAATTATTACTCTCGTAAACCCATTTTTATAATTTTGTTTTTCTTTTGAATTTACTTATGGTATTTATGGGTGTATTACGCTGCATTTCTATCACGCTGAAAAAACAAATTACCTACATCGTTTGTATTTTGCTAATTCAAATAAGATTTCCAAATTAACTCATCATCACCTCCTTAAAACTGTCTATTTTGAAGCACAGTCCACCAGCTTCTTAATATAAGGGTGTGAAATTATGGTTTTTATGATACCAGGCACGTGCAAAAACAATTCACCCCTAACTCCTTTGCCCACTCTCACTAACACAAACGTGAATTGAGCACGAGGTAGTAAAAATCGGGATATTATTGGCCACAAACACTGCATTAGAGCCATTTCATTGGATGGCCAGTTCCAGCGCAGCAATGGTACTCACTCCCATTAACTTAAGCGTTCACCCATTTCCTGGAATCGATTTTTTACTTCTTTAGTTGAACAACGTTACCTATTCTCCAAGAACAGTCCTGATCAGAGGACTTTGAGCCATAACTTTGGGGGCCTTGCTTCTATAGAAGATCAGGGCAGTACATTTCGGAGAGCCTATTCTACTCGACGAGTTCTGCCAAACGTTCAGGTTTCAGAAGCTGCTTTAAGTCGGGCAAGGAGTCTCCGGGTTCCAAAAAATAAATATCAAAATCTGGAAGGCTATCAAGACATGAATACTCTTCCTTATCCCGACGGTGGTCAGAAACCTTACCGACATTCATCTGCTAGTCGATCTCGAGGGAATTTAAATCGATATAGACAGTCTACTATCGCGGCCTCGTCTGTCTCCCCTCCGAGTTCCAATATGGCACCCCGTCTTTCACCTAATTTGAATTTGCGCGTCGAGACGCGACATCAGCCGAGGTCTGCCAGAACTCTTGAGAAGCCAGAACAAAGAACACGAAGACAGTTGCCTTCAACCGCTTTGGTCTCAAATAACACAAAGTTGGATAACAAGGAGGAAATCGAAAGCATTGCTTCAACTCTCGATGATTTTGACTACTTTTGTAGTATATCATACTCCCCAAATGGCAAAATAACGCCAACTTATCCAAAAGAATCGACACAAATGCGACGACAGAGAATGAAGGGAATGCGAAGTCATTCAATGCTACATCCTAATGAAAGCTTTGCCGATTATCAGTCTAATTCATCGTCATTAAATATTGAAGGAAGTATTGAGGATTACCACGTTGACAGAAGAGCAATCAGTCGGACGCTGACAAATTATAATCAAGATGTGCTGGAGGAAATAACCCCGAAGAGGCTATCTGGAAATGCCTCAAGAAATAACTCCTACGTAAGTTTAGCTCAATGCAGTCGAACATCATATTCTCCCGCTCGGGTTCCAATTGCACCTCAACCTCCATCACACATCGCATCGGGGAGTGGTGAAATGCCACTTGGAGCTGCAATCTCTCAAGAAGCTCTAGACGCCGATGATCCTGATTTAGTTGAATTCAAAGTCCAAGTTCTTGGCTGGCCGTCTGTTGGCAAGTCAACCATTTGTCAGAGGCTTGCAAAGCTAAATGGAGACGAAAATGATGGTGAGATGCCTTGAATGTTCAGTGAGAAATGTTAAACAATGCTTAACTTACAAGATAGTTCAAACAATTAGTTATTGCTTTCGTCAATAAACTATTGCCTAACTTTATAAAACAAAACTAAGACATTCCATAAATTTTAGCATTTATACCGAATAGTTTATTAAAGATTACAGGTCCATTTTTAACTAAATTTCATCGTTTCTTTGATAAACTTTACTTAATTATGCTTCAATTTTAAAAAGCACACTTAAAAATTTGCCAAACATTCAATATTCCTGTTTAATCTACTACTCGTAAGAATTCAAAAGTTAGAGATGATAAGTAGAAATATTTCTCTGTACAGTTCACCAAGCATTTCATGAATTCAAAGAAAATTGTATCTAAATCCTCTAATTCCAAAAGGAATAGCATGATTTATATGCAATTCAATTTTTGCAATTTATCACTTTAAGTTGATATATTAAGGGACTAATTAGCTACTAATTATAACTCTTGCACTTTTGAATGTTTGAATAAATGACTCGTTTATTATTATTCTCTAGATTTTAATGATGATACTGAAGACGAATATCAAGCGCTCTCTGTAAAGGCAACTCTTGATGGAAAGGTCTTTAACGTAGCATTTACGGAGACACTTATTTACGCAGCGGAAGATTCTATGGTAAGTGCCTTATCAGTTGGTGGTTCAGTAATTCTCCAAACTTATTTCCCTCGTGGGAAAAGTAGTTTCAAAGATGGATTCATTCTTTGCAACACTTTTAATCAAATCATTAAAGATTGAAGTCATTTAACGATGTTAGTGTTTATTTGATCATTTTTAATTGGTTCAATTTGATAAAAGAAATTGCTGTGAGATAAAAAAATTCGTCGGTCAGATGCACTAATTTTGCTTGGTAATTGTGTATTTTTTTTAGATCACATTTACACGTATTGAAGCTTTAAGGAAGTGATTGACGAGAAAAGTGCCTTTCAAAAACTTTAAAACATTGAAAATTATTTTTGCATTAAAAACGGCAAAAAACTGATTCATTGAAAATAAATACTCAAATGAGAAAATTATACCGTTATTGTAAATAAACAGTTGGTTTTATATAAAATTAATATGATACTTAACAAAATGTGATATTTGTCGACACATTACAAAGCAATATTTTAACTATTCTAATTAAATTATCATTCTAATATAAAGCATTTTTCGTTATACTAAACCCTTTACTTAAAATTTAGGTTATAATATTTGCTACAAAATTGCTTTTAAACTCTGTAATCGTAAAAATTTTAAAATAAAGGTTTCTTGATTATAGCATAATCAAAGTTTATTTGTACATATACTGAAGTTAAGCAGAAAACACGAAAATCTGGTTTTGCTTCAGTATAACAGGAAATTATAGATTTAAAAAAGAGACTAATATAAATAGATTTGTGAAATTTCGAAAACTTAAATTTACATTTTAAAGTTTCTTTTTGCCTAAATAATGATTTATATTATTAACACTATCTAAAAATTATATTTGACCTTGTGTTTAACGTCTTATTGTGCAAAAGTTAATCAAAAATATTTAAAGCATAATTATGAATAACTATTTACATTTTTGTTTTAAGATCACTGATAATATATTGTTCTTAATAAATCCAATTCTCTTCATTCAACTTGGCGATGGAAGTCCAATGTCAAACTTAATTCCATTTTGTGTTCTGATGAATTAATTAACACTTGAATTTAATAGGTGGCTAATAACAATTAGGCAAATATAAAAATTTATTACGCTTAAGATTAAGTTAATAAGCCGGGAGTTAAGTAAGTAGTTTATTTAAATTAGCTGCGCTTTGCCTCCAACTTCAACAAATGGGAGAATTTAAAGTATGCTTTAAATGGGGAATAAATGTTCTTTAATTTATAGTGTTTTGACCAGGCAACCCGGTTGTTAATCATTTCACGACGAGGAGTCTAAAATTAACGGGTGGTAAAACTATTGAGAAAGAATATTCATGTCAAGGTCAGAAAGTTGTTTAGTGAGATGCAAACATACAATCTCATATCGAAGCTGACGATTTCACTTAGACTTTACTGTGCTGATTGGTTATCTCCATCTTCAATAACCTATTGAACTGAAAATAAACTAATTCAAATGATGATTTGACTATTTTTTGACAAATTTAAGGGAAGAGTCTCGGTTTCTATTTGCTATTAGTAATATTTTATGAAAATATTGCCCGTGATTTAATTTAAAACTAATTTCCCCGCATGTTTGGCATATAAATCTGATGGTTACTTTTATTGAAAACATCGAAACTTCCTGTGACAGAATTTTTCAAATCACAGTCCCTTTCATTGGATGTCTCGGCTTGAATAAGTTTTTTATTTCAGAGTTTAAACCACCAAAACTTTAATACTTATTTATTAGAAACTTATATATTTGTCGATAATTTCTTGACCTGGTTTTCGCCTTTATATTGGACTGCTAATTACAGTTACCTTTTGCACAAAGGTACATTATCAATGGCCAAAAATTCCTTCCTTGAAAACATGAAAATCCTCCTCTATCTTTGCTCAAAAATTGATGCAAATCTAGGCTATATTAACCAAGCTTTATTACGTATTGGTTTTAATAAATCTTTATGTTCGGATTATACTCTTTGTGGCTACATCAGCTTATTCCGTTTTAAGGCTTGAATTGCTTTAAATCCGAAGTACAAATATATTACGTGCCAAAAGCTAAGCAATAAAAAGTTATTTCAAAAGAGTTTAATTCTTAAAATAAGCTAAAACCCCAAAAAACTTATTTTTAACTCTAATTTGTGGTCCATATTTCTTTAAACTGAGTTAAATAAACCTTGCACATTTTATTTCACCAAACGCGAAGTAATAAATTTGCATTGAATTAACGCAATGGAATTGATTGAAACACATTCGTGATCACAACATTAATCAATATAATTGCTACAAAAAATAGTATCGGTTATCTTATTATATTGTTCTATTAACTTTTTAAAAAAAGACCTCATTGCATTTTGTCAATAAGAAAATATTTTCTAGAAAAAATACTTTTGTAACGCCAATGAAAGCGGTAAATGTATATTGTCATGAAAATTGTTCTAGTCACAAACTAAGTTTTCTTCTCAATTTAAAATTATTATTTAATATCCAATAAAGTCTCTGCAGCAAACAATGCAAACATTCGAGTCTCTGTTTCATGTTAAACCAAAGCATTCTAATAATTTCACAGTTTTCAAAATAGTATTGATTGAAATGCGCTGATTCCAACGCTAAGTGTTTAACCTTATGTGAGTTTTCAATTTGAATTGCTCAGTATTAGCAGAATTTCTAAACTAACATTCATTCCCTGGTTTAGAGCAAAAGCCGTTCGGATTGTTCATGGCACATGGGCCGATTTTTTTGTAATCAAAAGGGATTAGGTTTACGCCTTGACTTGTTTCGATTCCAAGGGTTGTGGAGGCAAATTGTTCCCACTTGTAATTCATCAACTTTTGATCGCAGAAAAAGATGTATAGAATATTTAGCGGCACTCTACAGCTTGTAATTATAATTTTTCCAATATATATTTCACATTATTCTTCATTTTGATTCATTAAGATAAGATTATAAATATTAAGATAAAAAAATAATTGTTATCGCACAATTTCTATATTCTAGCCTAAAACAGAGAGAGAGACTAGGTGGGTAAAAATTAACCATTTTTCCAACATTCAATTCAGAGATTTTCACTTTAATTTCAATTCATTTGTCCCATCGTATGGTCTAGATATGGTAGAGGAAACACGCTTTTTTATTCCTACAGTGGTCTGTGCTTTTAATATGTATTGAATGCTAAATGTAATTCATCAATTGTTAAAGTTCGTAATGCATTCTATTTTGATGGGCATTTTCATTTGTCTCTATGGCATTTGATATTGCATTGAATAAAAAGCGAATTATCACATTGATGTACTTTTGATTATAATTAGGACTAATTAATTTAAGTCACTTAGGTACTTTACCTAGTTACAACGTATTAACTTATCAGCAATTTATTTATACGTCGTGATTACACAAGTAAATGAAAATAAAGTCATTTAAGGCTTTCTATGTTCTGGCTATGTTTTTCATTCAAAATCTAATATTTCAACACCCATTTTAAGATCTGGCATCTTAATTTGAGAATATTTTAGAAAGCATATTCAGCAATCTGTTAGCTTAAGCACCAGCGTAGAAATGACAACTTGAAATGTTTGATTCGGAGTATCTAGGATATTTTTAATGCATGTTCTAAAATAACACGATGCAGCTTCAAAATAGTTTATATCTTTTCCGCGAAATCTAAAGTCGGTCAATTTCTTATTTTTTCCATCTTTTAGAACATCGAAATTCAAGAATGCGTGGACGCTTTTGTAGTGGTTTACGCCATAGACGACGAATTCACCTTCGAATATGCACGAAGAATTCTCCTGGCCCTACGAGATAGCATCAAGGTGAACTCTCTCCCACCAGCTGGTTTCATTTTTGTGGGAAACAAGTCGGATTTGGTTCGAGGTCGTGAGGTTCCCACGGAAGGTAAATTGAAATTCATTTTTGAATTTACCCCCAAAAGGCTTGATTAATCCTGTTGAGCAGCAGTTAAAAATATGGAAATGAATGAATGATTTAATTTAACTGAAGTTTGGTAATCATATAAACGAATTTTTGCTACGTTTACGAAGCAAATCAAAGTCAATTAAAATTACATCAATTCTTGTAAATTTGAAAAAAAGGAAACTTAGCAAACTGATTTCTATTACGACGAAGAAGGGACTTCGAGAGACTTCAAAATACTCTATCTCATCTAGTTGATCTCCACTAGTTTTGTCTTCCACAGTTAAATTCTGAAGTTTCTATTCCTAAATAAATTAAATTTTTATTTATTTTTTTAAATTCTTTGAAGTAGCAAACATACGTGTGTGCAAGAAAATTAGTGTCTATTAACACGAAAAAAATTAGGAAAGTGATTGTATGTCTAAGGCGAAATTTTCTTAAAACGTTTTATCGATGGCACAACAATTTACCAAACTTCTTATTGATAAAATTATGGGTATTCAAGAGAGACAGTTGTTTACGATGGTTAGTTCATATTGAAACAAATTTTAAATAACAACTTCACTAAATGCTCGAGGATAAAAGAGCAAGGTTTATGTGACTAGCTACCTAGGTGCAATTAGGATTGCAATTTAGAATTTTAGGTTGACATAGTTAATTATATAGCTCAACAACACACAGAGACAGACACAAAACCATTTCATATTTGCAAAGCTAGCCAGTCGCCAATTTTAGAGAGCAAAAAATTAAGGCCCAGACCACAATTCGGAACTTCACTTTTGTTTCTCACGACTAATCTACTTTTACTCTGGAGTCATATACTTGTTATCTTTTTTATAAGTTATGATTGTATTTAGAGGGAAGCATCAGTTTGCTAGCTGTCCATAATACAATTCAACATTAACTACTATTCATTACAAATTTTCATTGAGGCAACTTTCCTTCACACAAATTAAATTGACCACACCCAGAAAAAGCTTAAGCTACGCTTTAGCTTTTTACCCAGGTGGGTCATTTAGATTCCCTTCTCACGCCTTTAACCGACATTGGGCTTTAAAATTTGCCTCACACACGCAGGGGAATTTATTTATTCAATTAAAAAAAATGTAACGGTGTGTTTGGTGCATTAAAAATTACGAATACACTTTTCTCCATAATTAATATGCCAAGATATGTGGGGCAAAATTAGCCAATTCTATTGATACTATGCTATTCAAATCATGTTAATAGACAATTGTTGCTAGCATCGATCACAACCTGGTATAGATATAATCAGTTAATCTCCACCCACTAATGTGCACTTATCTCCATCAATATATCGCAGTTCACATATGGTGGTGACCCTTTGGATTTCCGGTTCTTATTTACTGAACGCTTTTATTGAACACCAGATAGATGATTATGTGGCATAAAATATAACTCAAATCTGCTAACTTTTCATTCCAAACATTTAAAAATTCGTTTAGATGGGAAATATTATGATTGATATGTCTCTAGTTCTATCTATCCATTTCATCTTCTCTCTCATTCTGTCGTCATCATTCAAATACATCATTTTTCCATGGTTGCCATCGTTCTTGGAAGGGAACTGATTTTCTTTTAACCCATTAAGACTACCAGATTTGAAAGTGCTATCTCTAAGTCAAACTCAATTACTTGGGATTAAAACATTTGTGATGCAACCGTTTGGTAAAGTTAAATATTAATATCTTTGTTCATAGTTTTATTCTTTTTACTTTAAATTTAATTTCAATCTCTTTAATTAAGAAAAATTTTAGCGCAGGAAGGTAGTTAATTTACTGATTTAAAATTCAGAGGAAAAGCAGTGGATGTTTGGACTAAAAGAGTTTATCAGATCTGCAAATTAAGCAAAAAATAAAATTAAAATTAATTGTACTTAATGATAATGTGAACACTTTTTCTCTAATGAAATAAATTATAAAAATTTGAGGAATTTATTTACTTTTATTAAATCATGCGAATATGAACTGCGTCAAAATGAATTTCGGGTCAAAGGGACCAATGAAGTATTTAGTTGTTAAGCCCAAGTCATATTTGATTGAAAATGCCTGTTTATCATTAACCTGTATTAATCACGACATGTAAATAAATGACTAACATTTGTATAGAACTTTTTTTGTCTCCATTGTTCATTGGTTAAAGATTCTAGAAAGTGATGGCTGAATTCAGGAACCAGCTTGGCTCCCATCCTGTAAGCAAAAAATCCACTTTCAAATCATCCCGAAGTAAAGTTGTGAATGGGATGGTGAAATTAGCAACGAAGTGAAAAAAGCTTAAAATGGAGTGAGAATGCCGCTGTTAGGTGAGGACAGCCCTAATGGCAATAGGCAGGCAGTGGAATGAACGCAGGTATTTCACATCACAGTACCGCACTTAAAAGGGAGGATTAAAATTGAAACTGAATATTCCCTCAAGAGAAAAACAAATGTATGGTCCAAGAAGTATTTTAGTCAACATTATGCCTGCATTTTGCCCATATTTAAAGTGGATCTTTCATCAAAGCTAAAAATATACCACTGATATTGATTAGCTTTGAACGAATTATTTTTCATTTCAATGTATAATGGTTTATTTCTCATTCGATTGTCAATTACCACTCATTTCAACAGAAAACCAAAATCATTTTTTGCTAAGATTAACTGCAACTCAAAACATCATTTTATGAAAATATATATTATTCTGTTTACTTTTCAGAGTTATTTGATCAGTTCATGACAACTTTAACTCTCCAGGGGAAAAAAATAGGAAAAAGTAGACGTGGTAATTAATCGAATTTAAACTCTTTAATTTCAACTTGGGAGGCCAAAAGACTTTGGGAGGTTTTGAATAGTTTAAAGCTCCACTTATTTAATGATTCAGGAGTTTCGAATTTCATTTCAATTAAATGGAATTGGCGAAAAAATTATGATCCGTGGAATTACGATTGTTAAAATGATTTTAATCACTCAATTTTTATATCTTTCGCAATTATTTCTCTTTCTTTCTTGACACAGTTTTTTTTTAATTTTTATACACTCTAAGAAGTGTAAATAGTGCTTAAATTGCCCAAAGAAAAAGTTCTTCTCCTTTATAAGCTTACATTTTATTACCTCTCATATAGAACTAATACACACATATGCTCATTCATTTTATTACAATGTGTAAACTAAATGGTATCAAATTGATTCGAATCTCGAAACTAGCCACTTAACCAAATGACATTTTTCCCATTAATCATACCTAGATTCTTGTTTTTTTCTAAAACTCCGTGAATTGTAGAATTGTAGATTCAAAAATGATTGACTTGCTTGTTATATAGGAGATTAAGCAGTCCAAATAGTTGTACTTCGCTTTCATTTCTCACTTTATTTTCAAGTCAAATGAACGTTACTTGAATAAATTAGGCGGCGCTGACTAGGGAAATACGGGAACTCTTAAACGGAGCACAGCGAAATCGAAATGAAACATGGGATAAGCCCCTGGGAACAAAATCTTATGTAGTGCTGGTTTTTATAATTACTAACTTTTAAACTATTTTTCTATCTTTTTGCTACTAACGAAATTTTCTTCGCTCTTGCAGAGGGAAATCAGTTCGCGACAGCCATGAAAGCAAAATTTATTGAAGTATCAGCTGTCTTGGACCACAAAATTCCCGAACTCCTTCTCACAATCATCACCCATTTGAGGGAGCTTGAGGAGGCGAAGGGCCAGCGGCCTAAAGGACCCCCGACAAACGAAATGTGGGCCACAAGTAGAAAAATTGCTGTCAAGATGTCGGCCAAAGGGCTCATAAGAGGGAGTGACGAATTTGGGGGTTGCCACAGTTGTACGTCAACTGGACACGGTGGAGGTCAAGTTGGAATGAGTGCTACTGGAGATGCAAGAACTGGGAAGAAACCAGCAAAAAAAGAAATTGTCAAATTCTTCAAAAAACACTTTTCTAAATCGATTGTTGAAGATTCCGTTGCCGGGAGAGAAATTTTGGAATAACAGGTAAACGTCCTAATCTAATCGAGGTTTATATAAAGGCTTTCATTTGAACCGCTTTAACAAATTTTTAACTTCCATCATGGTTTTCTTTTATTTAGGCAAATCCAGGTGGACATTTTCCCAAAATAATTTCAAACTCAATTAAAGATGTGCATCATAAAGTGCTTTGAAGAACCTTCTCGAGTGTATTGTGTTGCAATTTACTTAATTTTATCGACAGAGATGTGTTGTAAATAAACATTATTCTTTGTATTATTTGCGGGATTTCTTTTTTCATTGCGAAATTTGGGTCAGAGTTAAATTTTCTAAGACCATAAAGACCTACCCATGTATTTGAAAATATATTTGTCTTTATCTTTGAATTCCAGGGGTGTGTGATAGACTTACCTCCACGTTGTGCACCCTGGGCAACGTATACTCATACGACAAAAAGTCTATAAACCGGCAGTTGACTTCAAACTACCATGACCCCACTGTTTGTCATATTCGAATACTTTCACAGTACTCATCCCACCTTTTTTAC